CTCTATCAGCACAAGGCTTAGGGAAACAACAGTACCACTCTAAATGCACGTATTTTGCTGTAATGTCAATTTAGAAAAAAGAATAACTAGAAAAGGCGTTCTCTTAATGTACATAGATAGGCAATTTTTAACCACAATTGTGAATACTCTCGTTATCAGGCGCTTTTCTCGGCGCATGAAGTTCACTCAAGTGAAGGGAGCATTTCGAAGGCCTCCCTTGGCGAAGAAAGTGTGGAGGAGCGTTCATGAAACGCAGCGGCCCCTTGAGTGGAGGAGCACGCTCCACCTTGACTTCGTCAAGTCGAGGGGAGCTCTTGAGTGAAGGAGCGTTTGTGAATACGGGCCTAAGAGCGTGGAGTGAAGATCGGGGTAAGGACAGGAGCAAAAAAACACGCATCCTTCTTGGTTGAAATCTCCTTCGCCTGTACAGCTGAGTTTGACAAAACCAAAGTGTTGGTGAGGAATAAAGACCTAGCGCATGTGTGGAGTTGTTGAAGCATATGAAATCATTTCAGTCGCTCTCACAGATGCAGAGATCGCGTATGTACAGCATACTTGATTACGTGCTTAGTAGGGGTTGCAAGGTTTTTTTGTGCCTTTATGTGTGCACATATATATGACACGTTCCTTCTAATAATATTTTAGTTGTTAGACAGCTGTTATGTTGTGCCTATTCTTCTGTTTCTTGCGTTTTTGTGCGCGGATCATGATGAGTCTACTACTCACTCCTGGTTCACTAAAAATGGAAGTAATAATCGCAACACCTGGGTATGTGTAGCAAAAAGCTATAATCACAAATGGGCATGAGTTTAAGGGGACAACCGCAGGTTCGTATTATTTGCTGGATAGTAAATCCTGAGATACAGTAAATTAACTTTGTGGCAAGCAATTTAAGCAATTTCTCAATCCCTTCAGACTTTTCAAACCATGCTGGCCAACGAAATTCAGGATAGGTCACTTGTGAACCGACACTGCTGTGCAGAGATCAGCTCGATATTTCTTCGCCTCCAGTTTCAGGTCAATCATGGTCCGTGCTTTAGAAGTGGTGCCATTCTGCTTCTCTTTTCCAGATGCTTGGAACGACGGAGAGGATTGGCAGACGTCCATCCTTTCTGTCAGAAGCTTGCTAACCTAGGCTGCACGGCGAACAATACATCCAGCGTTTTTGTGAAGAACTTGCCATCAATAGCTGCATGGAGAACAATTACACCAAGCATGCTGCATTGCCGCATACATACTATAAGATAGTTTCGTTTTCACCGAGCGCACGACTTCTTGGCCCTTCTTGGCCCGCAGCATATTTATTTTCCATTTTAGCACTGCAGATTTTCTTGTTGCCTGTTCTCGGCCCACATTTTCATTTTGGTGGAGGGTTGCAAGCTGTGTTCTGAAAATGAAGTAGCATTTCAATATTACTGACAAAATGCGTATTATTTCAAGTAGCTATGAATGCTTTTCACATGGCCAAACATACCTTGACATTATATTAGCAGAACTGAAGCCCACAGACTTCGGGGCAAATCTTATTATCAGGATGTCGTAAGACTCCAAGCTGAAGGTATTTGTATACGACGACAACTGTTCCAGGTCCTTCAGTAGAGTCCATTGGGATGTTGTTGACACAAGACTCGCGTATGCAGGTGTACCTAAAAATGCTTGCCCTTTGGAGCATTTCCTTCATCAGTAATATTACTCATAACTTTACCTGAAATGAGCCACTTGCCATTTGGTAGGTCATCATGCAGACACAGTGATTACGGCTCTCCATGACCATGGTGCACAATAATGACATGGTTTAGCATACCTAGAACAACTAGATTAGAAAGGCTGCAAGTTTACAAAACCTACATACATTACACGAACAGAAAAATGCGAAAAACTTGGAGCTAAGCAAAATAGCCCCACATTTAAGTTATATCAAGCGCTGTCCATACCTATACAATCAATTGTACTACCCTTACCCAATGATAAGTCAAATGTGTAGCCGGCACATGAAAATTCACTGCAAAATGTATGCTGGTTATTGCTCTCGCATAAACGTTTCATTAGGTCAGAGAACATTTTCGTACGCTTTATTAACTGTCCCAACTGGCAACACAAGACTGTAGTTAAAACAAAATTTTACAATCCACATTTATGATAGTACAATATTTATCTTTTCATGGAACAGCGTAAGTCTTCCTTTTTCACTTCACTAAACCATACATATTTTCAAAGTGAGCGCCGGCATGATAAGTGTGATGTTTTCCCTGGAGCTGCACGTTTTTAAAGATTCAGTTTTTTATTTCATGCTTTTGATAATTTTAACGCTTTTGATAGCTTGCAGAATGTGAAAATAAGCTTCTGTTGGTTTTACAAAGACGCTATAAAGAAGTGAAGAGACCATCAGCACCTGTTCTCTCTCATTCAAAATTTCGATTGAACCACAGTCTTATTTGACACAGCCAGTAACAAGGCAGCAGAGGTGAAGCACAACGGCCACAGCCTTGACTTGCACGCCAAGTCTGGGGAACATGTGCATTGGGTACATGCAGCTGAACGGTATAACTGAAAACATAAAAGAAAATGGACTGCTTACTCTTAAATATGGCCACAAGGAGCTTGCCATCACCCTGACTGACAGCCACACATCAGTAAAGATGGTTCACTGCTGGCTGCACCCACTCTTGCAAATTTTGGCAGGTGGTCTTCTTTGTCTGAGCAGTGAGCGTTTTCTTGAGAACTGTGTAGAACATGAAGGCCCGTATTCACAAACGCTCCTTCACTCAAGCGCTCCCCTCGACTTGACGAAGTCAAGGCGGAGCGTGTTCCTCCACTCAAGGAGCCGCTGCGTTTCATGAACGCTCCTCCACACTTCCTTCGCCAAGAAGGCCTTGAAAATGCTCCCTTCACTTGAGTAAACTGCATGCGTCGAGAAAAACGCCTGATAACGAGAGTATTTGCAACTGCGCCTAAAAAAATGCATATCTTTGTATAATAAATGAACGCTTTCCTTACTCATTCTTTTTTATAAATTAACATTGCAGAAAAATACATGCACTTAGAGTGGTAGCATGGTTTCCCTAAGCCTTGAGCCGATCGAGTTAGCGAAACCCCGCTTCCAGTCTGGCAACAGTTGCACCCAGGCAGCAGCTGATGGCGTTTCGTCTGCTGCTGAACGTTTCTACGTGCTTAGTTTATTTCGTCTTGTGTGCGTCTAATAATTGCAGTTTATATTTACGGTAGTGTCTGAGTGGGTGTTTAAGACCCTGCTTTCGCCGGGGTGACTAACGAACTACGTGAGTGACGGCAGGAAGCAGAACATATGGTTTGTTGCTTTGTTTACTTTCACTTTGCTGAGAGCCTTCTGCTCACTAGTGTAGCCACCAAACGGGTAACGCGGTGGAGTGAGTAATTTCTACTTCATATCACATTATATTGGTGTGCTTTTAGAATTCACCTCCGACAAAGATTACTTGCGCGTGAATTCGTTTTCGCTGCGGGAGTGTGTGAACAGTTCCCGATTTCAAGGGACTGTGCTACGTTCATTTTTCTCATTTACTGCGAATTTCAACGTGGCACTTTCGTAGTTGTTCCTCTGCATGTAATAGAAATATTGGAAGACAATGCTCGCAACTTGTAATCAAGGTTACACCGGAGTAGCGTTGATTTGATTGATATGTGGGATTTAACGTCCCATAACCACCATTTGATTATGAGAGACGCAGGGTAGCGTTAAAAAGTAGGCATGGTAGACTCGTGGCTGAGCGTTTGAATTAGACTGCTATGCAAATTAAGAAAAGCGATCGGCGATCGTGTGCTTTTCTTCAACTAATGGCGAAAACATCAGTTTAAAATTGTTTTTTTTTTCAATTGGCAGCATGTATAGACGAATAACAATGCGTGTTTGTGTTTTTGTGTTTCAATTTTAACATTTCAATCTTCCAAGGAAGCCTGAGTAAGCAGTTATTTTTTCCATCTTCTTTTCGCCCTGCATTTGTGGATGCTATAATATGACAGATTCGAATAGACGTAACCTTTAAATCTCTGTAGCTTCCGTCTCCAAGTTCACACAGCGGCCCCGTCTTAAAATTATTTTCCTGTCATTTTTCCTGCAAGCTCCGAAGCACATTCGTTAATGCAGGAATGACCTTTGCACTTATGTTTTGGCTTTTATTTGTAGAATATTATTGCCGGGAATACCTCTTGAGTTTTCTGTGCTTCATTCTAAATTCTCGGCAGTACATAATTTATAGGAGGTGGTTTATTTTATTGCAAATGATAGAATCGAAGGCACTTCTGACTTTTGGCGCTGTTCTGTCTTAAAAACGACCGTGGTTGTTCACTGAACCTCGGAAAAAGTGTCGTCAAGAAGCAAAGTATTTTACTCTGCTGATTGGACGAAAACCAGTGCAACAAAGTGGTACAAAAAATGCTTGATTGATTGATTGATTGATTGATTGATTGATTGATTGATTGATTGATTGATTGATTGATTGATTGATTGATTGATATGTGGGGTTTAACGTCCCAAACCCACCATATGATTATGAGAGACGCCGTAGTGGAGGGCTCCGGAAATTTAGACCACCTGCGGTTCTTTAACGTGCACCCAAATCTGAGCACACGGACTTACAACATTTCCGCCTCCATCGGAAATGCAGCCGCCGCAGCCGGGATTTGAACCCGCGACCTGCGGGTCAGCAGCCGAGTACCATAGCCACTAGACCACCGCGGCGGGGCCAAAAAATGCTGAAAAGTGTTAGAAACATCGCGGATATATCTGGTCAAACCCCTGTAAATAAAATATCCGCTATTGTTGCAAGATTAGCATGTCTACACGCTGGAACCACGCCTTCTCAGTTTTATTGAAGGGTAGTTGTGGTGGTGTATATAAAACAGGCTTGATTTCTGTAGAACTGCTTTCCTGTAGAATCGGAGAAAAGGTTTTTGTGATTCTGTCTGATTCTGAAAAGACGAATATGACGATAAATATGTATTCAAAAAATAAACAAAGAATATATCACGAATGGCAAAATAAACCTTTATTACATTTGGCTGACGAAGAGCCATGTGGCAACCACAAGCATGCAACTGCAAAGTGTGCATTAATCAAGCATATGCAGCTGGCACACTGTCGACATAAATTCCGAGAATTTAAGACATCATAAATAAGATCGAGGTAGTAGACTTCATAGCGTGTCTTATGCAGTGCAGCTTCATGCATTCACTTCAAGTTTTGTCTATTTGTATACAGTCGTGCAAACTCTGCAATGCATTGCGAATACGGCACGGTTTAGGTAACCTTTCCTCTGTGTTCTTCCGTCGGCAGCCTGGCCCCTGCACAGAAGAAGCAAGACATGATATTAAAAAAATGTAATAGCTACAACACCAAAGCCGCGTTTTTTTTATTTCTCGGGATGCACTCATTCATTATATTTCTTGCGTTAAAGAACCAACATGGTTGAGTTTTTGAGCTTTGCCTATTTTGACACATGTTTGGCTCAGGTACTTGGGCAGCTCACCAGGCATATGGTTATGTAATTCGATAAGCTAATTGCACGAATCAACGGCGTAGTCCGCAATATCTCTTTGGGGGGGGGGGGGGTTCAACAATATAAAAACAGTCTTATAATGTATCTGCTTTAGTTCTATTTCGTATGTTTACGTTTTTATACGCCACTTCATGCATTCTTGCGTGCGTGCATGTTTCACAGAGCACGAGCCTCTCCTTGATTACCTAAAGCTGGGTGTGGTTGATCAATGGTATTGTGAGCTGCATAGACACTGTATATCGAAGCAATGTTTCACGCGTGGTAGCAACAACAGTACACTTATTGCGCCCCATTGCACTGTGTTTTGTTCTTCCCAAACTGTCTCTAATACTGATCTGACCTGAGCATTGGGGAAATAAACAAAAAAAACAAGAAAAAGGAGAACTTACCTTCTCGTAGATACAGACGATCATCTAACGGAAGTGTGCTTCGCCGGATATTTCGGCTAGGGTAGCAAAGATTGACCGGAGAGGAAGCCGCTCAAGTGTATGGTGAATGCAGCGCACCGAAAGTTTGCTATTACGTTTCCTGTCGTCTTGTTTGTCATGCTTTTGCGCCACGGTTGAATTGTTGTGGTGTGCAAGCTTCATCAAAACACTTGAAAGCACCGGCATCCGGTAAGTCTTGGAGCACTGGCACGACGAGTATACGCAAGCCCGAAAACAGGTAATCCACTGGCTCATGCACGAAACACAACACATCCCGGCACTGATGAGCGCTCCGCTTGACACCATGCTCACCTGTCCCGGCCCCACAGTAACTGTTGTCGAACCGTTACAAGACAGCTCCGTAGTGAACATGCACCGTCAGTGTTGAAAGAACGCTTGTAACGTTTGCAGTGCTCGCCCTCTTTCTACGTCGGGGCTTTCTGATAACATTGCCCGATTGCTGTTATCTTGCTGTTTTCTTTTCTTTCGTGCCAACCTGCGATTGGCTGCGTAGCGCTTAAAAACGCGCCGCAAGGTGAATAAACTGGGATTGTCTTCCTGGCACTGCTTGAGTCGTCTCTTTCCTGGGCCGGCTGTCGTCCAGCCGCCGAATACGTAACACGCTGCGGTGGCAGCCAAATTGATTGATAAACGCTGTCAAAGCGAGACGGGCTCTGCCATGGACGCGATGCTGGCGCAGAAACTTCACTCGAGGGACGATTCAAGGTAGCTCGATCGCTTCTTTGACAATTTCGAGGAAACGCTCGAGATTTTCTCAAGTGAAGGAAGCGTTTCAAGTGAACGGCGGTTTGTGAATGGGAAAACGCCACTTAAGGAGCGTTTCAAGTGAAGGGTCGAGTCGAGGAGCGTTTGTGAATACGGGGGGAAAACTTATTTATGTATCACTGCACATTACCAAAATTGCAGAGATGTCTAAAAAGCATTGTTATAAGTAACAAAGAGATCTTAGGCAAGTGCCAATTGTAATCTTTCGTTCAGTGTTAATTCCCAGTGTTTAGGAACTTTAAAACAGCACCTGGAAACACAGATTTACAAGACCAGAAAGTGAAGAAAATCTATATAGCATAAAAATTTGATATTTCAACTAATTTCGCAAGAGGCACGACATAGTTTACAAAACAGTAAGCTGAGAAGCAGCAAGTGTGAACGTGGAAACAGCCAATAATTGGAAGTCTGCATTATCTGCTTTGAGGCGTAGGAGCCTCGCGACATTTACAACACTGACAAAACAAGCCTCTTCTTTCGTGTGCAACCATCGAAATTATTAGGCTTGAAGGGCATTGATTGATTGATTTGTGGGGTTTAGCGTCCCAAAATCAAGGCTTGAATGGCACAGCATGCCACTGCATCAAGTTTCCCGAAATTAACTTGAGGGTACTCTGGTCATGCGATTGCTCAGCAACCATAGGAATGATGGGAAGTACGCGGATTTGCGTAGTATTTGTACTCGTGAGCGGCAAATCTCACTTGTGACTTCATTTATTGGGTGTGTTTTAGTTTTGTTTCGAAGGAAAGAACGAACCCTTTTGAACTTCGCGACTCGCTTTGAACTCGTGACCTTAAAAGAATAAACTGGTGAAGCATGACCACTGAACATTTACCGATTTTTTGTTTTGAGAGAAAACAGCTCCAAGCCAAACAAACACACACGGAGCCTGAAGTACGAACATTAGACAAATGGTTTTTATTATGTACATTTTTTTCTTTTTTACCGTGAACAAATTTCCATTTTATTGGCTCATTTATGTTTTTCTAATGGAGGAAACTGCCATGTGCATTTTATTAGCTCATTTGTTTTTTTTTTGTACAGTTTTCAGCTTTATCAGCTCACTTATGTTGTTCCAGGGGAAGGCCTTTGTCCTGAAGTGGACGTAGTCAGGCTGATGAAGATGATGATGGTGATCATGATGATGATGAATGGAGGAAACTGCCATGTGCATTTTATTAGTTCAATTGTTGTTTTTTGTACAAAACTTTATCAGCTCATTTATGTTGTTCCAGTGAAGCAAACTACTAAGTGCCAGTTTTTTTCTCTTACTGTACACTCAGTATGCCACGTTTTCCAAGCCTGGGACTACTGACCCTGCATGTCAAGCATGATCTATGGATTTTATGTCTGTACCCACCAAGCTCCACTGAATGTCTTTGAAGCTGAAAATAAATTCTGATTGAATGATTAATCCGTGCACTACTAAACATTTCTATGCTCGCTGAAGCGCCATGCCTTGCAGATTTATTAGACACTAGCGCCAGAGTTCTCTCTAGTGTATATTGCCACGTTCTATTTCTCAAGTTTTGTTATCACCCCAAAACACTACACAATTCTCAGCGCAAACTGCGCCTGCAGTTTTCGAGAAGCTTCCGGACTTTAGTAGATCATTTCGATAAGATCACGCCCACTCAGCTAACTGTACTGATTATTCTGGAACCTGCACCACCACCAGCGGTAACGCTAGAACATTCGATGGCAAGAGTATAAATGCCGACGCACTTCGCCGCTTGTGAGTAGTTGATCGACGGCCGACGCTCCATTCGCCGCTTACCTGGATCCGGGATTCCCGCGACCAGGCACGCTGTCAGTCGTCTACCCCATCTCATCGAGCGTGAAGCGAACCCCTGGACAACCCCCCGGCTCTGTCCAGGCCTTCATCGTGAGCCAACGCCCGGGAACCACAGCGCAAGCCGTGGGAGCCGGGGCCAGGACGGAAGTGTGATGGTTTTCGCAGCGCCACCACCGAAAGCTCATTGCTTTAACTTCAGTGCTCCAGAGGGGAGCACCACCGACGACATCATAGATGCCCTCGAAGCAGTAACCGGCCCAGCCGGTATCAAGTCCCTCAAGCACATGGGAGGTGGAAAGTTCGGCGCCGCAGCCGCAAACGTGCATGCAGCCACCAAGCTGAAGAGCCGGGGCGCCATTCTCTTGAGCGGCGAATCAGTTCCACTAGTCAGCGTAGGTCTTGAAATAGTCCACGTCACCGTCTTCCGGGTACCGCTGTGGGTAGGCGACGCAGCCCTAGCGACTGCTCTCTCCGCCTACGGCAACGTGCAACATATCTACGAGCCAGTGTTCAAGGGCCGCCCTGGGGTTGGCACAGGTGTCCGTGTGGCGCGAGTGGAAATGAAAAGCCAAATACCGAACTTTCTGACAGTTCAAGGCTACAATGTCATGTGTGACAACCGGGGTGTCAAAAAAGTGTACTGTAAGTGCAGAAATACTGGCCACATTGCCAAAGATTGTGCCACGCCCCATTGCACGCGCTGCAACGTGTTTGGACATGCCACGGAGGGATGCGCAGAACCGTGCCGCAAGTGCTCGGGCAGCCATGCAACAGCTGACTGCGTACGTCCGAAGTCCTTCGCAGTGGCTGCAGCAGCGGCAACCGAAGGGCAAGCGTGCATCGATCTCACGCCCGCATTGCAAGATGATTATCTGGTGCTTGACCCTGCGAGCGACACTGACACAAGCGACACTGACGCCCATGCTGAACCACAAGACGCAGGAGACCTGCCTCCCCTGTCTGAGAAAGCCTCGTCAACCCTTCACGCCCCGTCCGAGACCAGCGACTTCTCGCCGGACGCCTATGAAGAACGCAGCTCACCTAAAGCCGAAGCCCGAGTGCCCGTACTTAGCAGAAACCGCGAGAGGTACAGCTCTGACACAGTTGGCACCACCAGTAGCTCCGAGGCGCCGAGAGCTTCGATGGGACGCGCCACCCGAACAACGGGACGCGCAGACGCTCTGATCATCGGCCCAGACAAGACCACAACAGTGATTATGCCACCGACAACGACGAGCGCCCGCGCCAGCAAGTACTCGGCTCAGACCCGCAAACTGAGCCTGTCAAACCCCATTTACCAGATTACAGGTGCGGCCGCCGGTGCGAGTGTCGGTGCCAGCGCCATGGAACTAGACCATCCAGCCACCAAACGAGCCCACCCACAGACCACGGACTCTGAGGGCTCTACGGACAGTAGTAAGCCCCAAAAATTTGCTAATGCTCTGACGACGTCAGAGCATTTCTCTCTTTAGTCATGTTCACTCGTTGAGCGCTCGCCCCACCCCCTGCAAGGGGCTTCTTTGAAGTTTGCGCGCACTCTCCTTTCTTCAAAATGGCTAAGGTGCATTTTATTTTCTTAAACGTCAGGGGTTTCAGACGCCAAGATAAGCAGAGAGAAGTCATGCACTTCGCAAGGTCACGTCATGTCGACATCCTCTTCTTACAGGAATGCAATTTTACGACCCCTTTTGATGTGCAATCATTTTGTTCACATTTCGGAGTCGAAGCCTTTTCTTCACTGACTGATTCAAAGATGTGCGGAGTCGGAGTTGTTTTCTCGACACCCGCGTTACGTCGAAGAGCACACTGTGTTTATGGTTTTGACGGCCGCACACTAGCAGTAGACTTTGACCTCCACGGCAGACGAGTAAGGGCGCTCGTAATATATGCCCCAGCTCAACGTAGGGTCACGGTCAATTTTTTCAATTCACTAGACTCATTTATGTTTGACAGCTACCATACTTTCTTAGTAGGCGATTTTAACTGTGTTGAGGACACCGACAGAGATGCGCGCGGACGCAGACAAAGCAGACAGTATAGCGGAGTTAGCGCATTGCGAGAACTCATCCGAAATTTCAAGCTCAGGGATGCGTGGGTCGACACTCACGGAAATGACTTCGATGCCACATGGCAACGGTGCCCCAACATTACCCGGCTAGACCGCTTCTATTTTCCAGAAGTGCTAGCCACACATGTCCAAAGTTGCGAGGTCCTACATTACCCACCGGACGTTCCATGCGTTACAGACCACTTTCCAGTGTCTGTAAAACTTTTCTTTCAACAATCCACTACACTTAGAAACCATTGGAAAATGGACACCACACTCGTGCACGACCCGGAAAGCGTAGCATTACTGCGCAATGCACTAGAGCAAGCATGCAAAAGGCCGCCTGAACCGCCTAACTGGGGCGCATTGAAACACAGTTGGCGCGGCGAGCTTATCAAGGCGGGGCGCGAAAGGAAAGCGCGCCTGACGACAGAGATAAACGACACGCTACGAAAAGCACGCATTGTATGCAGAGGCGAGACACTGACGTTCGCAATGCACGACTATCTCGATCAGTTAAAGGTGGGGTACGAACTTTTGCTACGTCTTAGTTCGCACACGGCTGCGCATTCTTTTATCAACGGACGACCGGTTTCAGATCCAGCTGTTCTTCGAAGCGTTCGCTACGGCTCCTTGGGTGAACAAATGCATGTCCTTTTCGTTCAGTTGCCGAACGGCGAACAGTCTACACGAGCAGAAGACATAATGAGGGTCTTTGAAAGACATCTTTCGAATCTTTTCAGGGCGGAGAATGCAAACGACGTGAACTATACCACCATAGTTAATGAGTTTTGCGAGGGAATTTCCCGCGTACCGGAGGAGCTCCGCGATGGTCGTTGCCGCCCAGTGACGCTGGATGAATTACGCATCGTGCTTCAGCGCATGAACACAACCGCCACCGCCGGCCCTGACGGAATACCATTGAGATTCTACAAAACTTTCCTTGAAACAATACAAGACCACCTTTTGACAATGCTAAATGGGCTTCTTGC